TTGATCAGTATTTGTTCAAAAAAAATTTGAGTTAACGTACGTAGCCCCTTGAGATCGATGATATGGTAATTTTTTCATAGTATATTGACTGAATTGCTGAATTCTTTGTAATATCATGATACGTTAAAAATATCCGATGATCGCTTATGTAAAATAAAAATGATCGGCGAAATTCGTCAAAATTTTACCGAGGCGAGTGCCTCGGTTGGCCTCATACTAGCGATACCGAAAGATTCTTTCGGTTGGTCTTTCGAGATTGGGAGCAAGCGTGTCGGTAATAAACTGAATATCTGTAGCGTGACTTGACCTCGGCTTCAGAGAGTCCGTCTATCAAGTTGTCATTGAGGTTAAAATTCATTTACGCCTAGTATGAACACAGCGAAAAAGCAAATTAACCGCCATGTTGTTTTACTGATTTTGCAACACACGTCATTTTAACCGATGGTTAATTGGCTAACACTCATAGCGAGGTACGTTAAATTTAACGCATAGTTAGAAGAAATTTAACCCACTGTTAACCGGCGTTTGAGCAACGAATCTAACCCACTGTTAATTTGTAACCATCAGTTAGGGTGTTTAACCATCTTTCGAGCAACCGGGGCCAGCTGCTGGTTTCGTACCTACCGGCAATTAAAAAACAGCACATTTTCATATGCCTCGTGATTTTGAACACTGAATAAAATTTCCGCAAACCCGCACCTCACTCTACCCGTTAAAGCAGTTTACTTTTTCCTGCATTGTCAAATTAACAAATTATAGTCGAGTGCGTCCTCTTTGACCTCTTTGTCCTGGCTTCCTTCGTTTTCCTCTTCAAAAAATAAAGTAGAACGAGAAGACGCCGGAAGGCGTTTACGCTGGATGTCTTGGTGTAAGAAAGAATTACCGGTATGATGAATGGCAATGGAAAGTTGAGTAGTGTATGCAACAAATGTGTGCAGGAGAAACGGAGGTGTTCTGTTAAGGAACTATAGAAGATGAGTTACACACAAGGGCTCCTTTACTACTCAGAACAAAACTTACATCAATATTACCCCCATATATGTTAGAGTATGAGGCAGTTCACTAAAATGTGCATTCCCTTTACTGATTTCCGTCAAAAAATGCACTTCCACATTCAACAATAGTATCTAATGTATCATACTTCCAATAACTAAAGGGCTTCAAGGCTGCCCTCTAGGGAAAATTTCAGGGAGCCCTTTGGGCTCCCAAGCAATTTAACCTAAAAGATCTAGCCGGCCGCCCAAATAAAATGTTCAGGGAGCCCTTCGGTCTTTTTAGCTGGGGTACCCGGGCCTCCCAAGTTGTTAGCCCAAATTAATAAATCAGTGAGCTGTTAGTTAATTATTAAAAATTAAACAAATTATTTTCTGAACAAGTCAAGCAGAATTTTGTGAATATTTTTTTTCATGAAAAATCACATCCTTTGACCTCCTGAGCGTCCGAAAAAAAACCCGCATGTTGTCATATGAAAGTAAGTTTTCGCGCCATATCAGAAACATAGGCAACGCCGCCGAATATTTCATGTTTTTTAAATGGAAAAGTAAGATTCTGGTCTGTTTGTATATTTTGTACAAAAATTTTTGGGTCAAAAATAAGGGCACTATTCTTTTTACTAATCATTTTTATTTAGGTTGAAAGGGTAAAAGATTGACTGAGATCTAGCCTGAGTATCAGGCCTTTTCCCTTTTCCCCAGAAACGCCTGATACTCAGGCTAACTGAGATCCCGTGGGCCGTGGAGCTTTCCGGGAAAACTGCTATGATTTCAAAGAAATTGCGGCCGCCCCAAAACAGCTGCCAAAACTATTATCTCTTTTGAATAGATCACGATCCGGTTTAGCCTGCGAAGCGCAGACGCATTTCCGGTCGTCGCTTCTCTCCCTCCGAAAAATAGCGTCTGCGAACCCGAGCGACAAAACGATTTCCGTGACGTAAAACATTTTTAGCCAATCGCGGTTTAGCTCTTAAAATCAAGGAACTAACTCGCGAGACTTCTCGCAGGATCGTGCGCGATGGATATGTTTTCAAGTCGAAATTGAAAGGACGACGTGGCTTGTGTATAGCCGTCCTTTTTTCTCAGAACGACGCGTTTACGAAAGTTAATTTGCCAGGATTGTGGGACTGATTGACGAAATAAGTATCAAGAGGATTCATATCGAAGAAAAGATTAGAGGACATTTTTCATCTATTTGCCTACGGAGTCAATGATTTATCAGACGTAGTTGTTTTGATCATATTCGAAACGATAACTGTCCTAATGACAGTAGACGCATCATGCCGTTTGTTGCTTCTGTTCCTTTCTGGTTCCTGGCAGGAAAGTATGCCTTGGAGAACTCTTCGATAGTTTGTCGTGTGCCGTTTTAGATATTTTTTAGTAGATATCCTTTATCTTTGAAAGGTAGGACATGTGGTAATTGATTTCCCATGCGTGGTTGCTTCTTGGTTCAGATAGAACTTTGATCAGATCGAAAGCATTTTATATTTGCTCCGGTATATTTCTTTAAATACATGTTCTTTTCAAGGTTCTCATTTCCATAGTTTTTTGTGAGATGAGTAGAAGCGTCGTAGCTGAAATGTCATTTTGACTATGATCTATTTACTGCTGTAACTATTTATTTCACGCTGGGTCTGGCCCAGGTTTATAATATTTCAGATCATTGTGTTGTGGCGATACTAGAATTATTAACGAGCGATTGTTAGAGATTTCTGAATCAGTCAAGGATGTGTCTGTGTAATTGATTCACCACCTTTTGTCAGCGCTGGTTAAATTGAAATAAATAAGTCTGAGCGCGATGTCATTAAGCTATGTTGCTTTCCTTTCGCTGTAGCGATTATTTTGTCCAGGTTTTGTTTATGTCACGTACTACCGTATTTTATAAAGCGAAACCAAAGGCCCACATCACATACATAGCTTAAGAAGCAGTTGCTTCATAAAGAAGTCAGCATTCAACGTCGCAGGAAACCTTGTTACGGTCGTGAAATTCACGTTCCAAAGCGTGTTTGGTAATTCTCTCCAAAATCCAAGACACTTCAGCGCGCGAGGTCGCGAGGAGTCACTCGAGCTGTATTCTATCCTTTAATCTGATTGGCCTACATCAAAACGAAAGGTTTTACGTCACGGAAATCGTTTTGCCACTCGGGTTCGCAGACGCTATTTTTCGGAGGGAGAGAAGCGACGACCGGAAATGCGTCTGCGCTTCGCAGGCTACATCCGGTTGGGAAGTCGTCGTTTAAGCGCAGAACGGAAGTATTTTCTTTCTATATCATCGGTGAAATGTTCAGGACAAATAAGCTTTTTGTGGATTCGGTAGCCAACTAGCTCTACTTTTACCGCTAAATTTAGCTTCTGCGTATTTATTTTTAGTACGTGATACGTATTTTTTTATACGTATCATTTAAAAATGACTTGTCACGACACGAATGACAGTGCGGGACTTTATAGATTTATACCCGATTGAGGGGTCCCGATTCTAAAACAATCACAATAATAGTCGTCTCTTTTCTTTTTTATACAACGTATTTTACTGGAATAACAATCTTAAGTTATGTTATAGCCTCGCAGACACAGCAGTAAAAAACAGGTAAAAATATTTAAATAACATAAAAGAGTGACTCCCGTGTTTATTCAGCGACTTTTTAAAATACAAAACTATTGTTTTGCGTCGCCGACCTTACTTTACGCCTGTCTGAGCAAAAGTAACGATTTCCTTTGAAAAACTAACTAATGAACCATTCTAATTTGAACAAAAAATTTCAATGTTAGTTTGAAAGGCTGTTAAAATCGAAAGCTGTGCAGCTTGATTTAACAACATTTAATTTTCTAAAGCTTTTTGATACACATGCTACATATTGCCACTTACAAGTCGACCTCAAGGGTTTCGTAGCCAGAGGAGCGTTCGTTTTAGGCCGCGAAGCGACCGAGAGAGCTACGACTTCGTAAGTAATAAATTTTAGACATTCTAGCTTTTGATAGTCTGCTACACGAGCGTTGCGTGACGACACTAAAAACGGCTGTGTAGCAGACTAAGCTTTTGACTGTAAATCAAGAAACCAGTAACCTCAATTTTCCCTTCTTTGCTGACGCACTTGTGCAATCCAACCTGACTTGCAGGTGATTCGAAGTTGCAGCCAATAAAAATCACACAATTTTTGATCCCAATTTTTTCGAGACGGGCTCGGGATACGGGAAAGTTAGAAAAACAAGGCAATTTTTGACTCCCAAGAAAACGAAAGGACTGACTACGTCATCCTGCATAATAAAATAAAATTGAATCCCAAATAGATTCTTGGAAAATTTAAAATATGATTATGTAACTTTGCGTGCCACTAAACAACCAAATATGGTAACGAGAGGCTGTCATTGGTCAGATTATAATTAAAGCATGAACCATTCCAAGAAGAGTATAGATGGAATTAATATTTTACTTACCACCACCGGCTACGCAAGAACTCACTGCTTGTCTGGTGTCTGAACGCTGTGAAACTTTAAGACGAAACTAAATGGCTACTGGTTCAAGCATAATCATCGATGGAGAGACGTTCGACCTTATCACCATACCAAGTGCAGAAAGCAAACTGGTGCAGTCAGCCAAACAGGAGCTTCTTGGCGATCTAAATCTCCAGAGACTTGTTGATGACTTGGGAAAACTCGGAACGTTTATGCGCGTTGCTTACAACGGTGTGGCAGGAAATACTAAGGTACAAATAAAAGTACAGAGTGTCGGCTACAAGATTACAAAACTGGCTGACAAATCAGCTATCACAGTACACCAGTTCAAACGTACATCGACAGAGGTACTTAAAAAACTGAAGAACACCTATCAGTTCTTGCTAGATGGACAAGAAAAGGTGGCGGTACTAACGCTCTCGAGGATGGCTAACAAGGCAGAAGCCATGGCGAAAGCGGCAAAGGAATTACGAGAAGATTTCGACCAGACAACAGAAGATGTGAAAAAAGCCTTAGAAGATACACAGATGGCAAAAGGTGATCAGGAAGACACCAAGACAACTCTGGAGAGGAAAAGAAGGGAATTCAAAGAGAAAAAGGAGAAAGCGGAGGAGCTGGAGAAAATTGCACAAAAGGCTGAAGAGGAGGCGACAGAATTGTACAAAAAGGCTCAAGCGAGAGAGGAAACGGCACATACTGCAGCACAGAAAAAACATGACAGCATTATGCAAACGATAGTAAATTCGATCACTGATGTCGTTACAAGTGTGCCAAGCGCAGTGGCGTTAACACTGTTGCTCCGATTCGAAAAAGCAGCCGAAAAATTGATGGAAATTGGTGACAAGTCCGGATGCAAAGAAGCTATTCGAAGGGCAAACAGAGAAAAGATAAATCACTTAGAACAAGTGGAGAAGGAACGGGACCGTCGACGAGAAGCCATACAACAATGCCTAGAATTCACACAGAAGATCATAAATTGCGAAGACGACAGCGATTTGGCACAGGCACCCATTGACGCTTTGCACAACTCTGTTGGTGCACTCAAATCTCTCTCTAACACCATGATGAAAGTGTCCATGTTTTGGGAGGTGATGCGAATACAGTGCAACGACTTAGCTCAAGGTGACGTAAAAGAAGCCGTCGAGATGATGATTGAAATGCCCAAAGAAGAACGACTAAAAACGTGGACATCCACGGGATTCAAGGAGGAAGCCCTGGGTTATTATTCAAAGTGGGTTGCTCTAAACAACGTGTCTAGTGTGTACATGTTACAGATAGAGGACACCTCGCGGAAATTGCACGAATACCTAGAATTCAACCCAACCACTGAAGAGGCAAAAAGCGAAGTACGTCGACTGGCTTCTGAATTCGCCGATGATTTGAGGCAAGATCAAGAAAAGGACGAAGAGGAGTCCCGGCTTAAAGAAACACAGAAAAGCTCCGAATAAAAATAATAATTAATAATTAAAAAAATTAATTAAAATAATAATTAAAAATTTATAACGCGCCTTTTCCATGTAAATATGATCAAAAGCGCGTGACAACTCGTAAATGTTAAAAGAAAATAAAAACTAAAATGAGCAAAATAATTAAGGCTAAGAATAAACAACGCTAAAAATTAAATAAAGATTAAAAAAAAACACTAAATATGTTACATAGTAGGTAAAAAAAAAAAAAAATTACATATCAAAAGCTAGTCTAAAAAGATGCGTTTTTAGTAAAGATTTAAAACGTTCAAAATTGTCCTCAAGACGGATGTGAAGGGGCAGATTGTTCCATAAATTAGGGGCAGCAGATGAAAAAGCACGATCCCCTAAAGTCTTTTTCAGTTTTAAACTAGGATACTTTAAGATAAGACCGCTAGCTGAACGGAGATTATAGCGCGGCTGTTCTTTGATAGCAATCAAATCGATCAAGTAACCAGGTGCATGACCGTAGATAGCTTTAAAAGTAAAAAGAAGTATTTTAAAATCAATACGAAATTTGACAGGAAGCCAATGTAACGCACATAGTTTTCCAAATTAATGCGGACAATACATATATCCATGACTAGTACATTTCAGTGTGAGTATTGCCAATATTTTACATTCAAAAGATGCGATAAATTCAAACTAAGATGTACTAGTCATGGAGGTATGTATAGTGCGCATTATTCTGGAAAAATTAGCATAACGTCAAAACAGTGAATGTTGTAACGCAGATTTTTGACCGGTTGGTAGGACAGGTTTGTCTTGAAATTTCAAGGTGTTGCAGTGAATCAATCTTAATGAGACTTTCGGACATCTTTATATACATTATGAAGATTATGTGAATAGATTTGAAAAAAATTCGTTCGAGTCGTTTCGGAGATATACAAGAAAGCGCTAAAAGTCCAAATTCTGAATGAAGTTGCACTTATACAGATGGTGAGAAAATGGGTTAGTTTTCAAGATCGCATGAACGAAAGTACACCAAAATTTCCTAGCATCAAAACATGATATTAAGCATCATTCGTACGCTACGTAAGAATAATTTGAGTCATTTATAACGTTTTTATTACATAACCTATCACGGCTATTGAAAATTTAAGGTTTGAAATATATTTTAGTTTTATTCGAATTCAAACGTACAGAATTTTTTACTTCTTACGGAGATTGTTTGCTAAACACCAAACTTTAAGTTCCTAGAGTTGGACTTTCAGCAGCAGGTCTAGATCACACAAAATTCGGCTTTTATCAATTTCAAAGTTTTTTGTTTACTGTTGTCATAGTAATATCGATTTTACTTAAAACTACGTTTTCACAAATTTCAATCCATAGCCAATTACTGGTGAAAATTTTATAGCGATCGGACAAGGTAAAAACTACTTTTAAGGCGATTGAAAAATATCGGTATGGCCTCTGAAAAACTGTATCGAAACACCTTAAAAGCAGTTAAAATGAATATCAACAGAGTTATTTTGACCTTTTTGTTTGGTTGTTTTTAGCTCCATATTTATGTTGTTTTAACTATTAGTAATGGTAGTTTTAACTAGTTTCTTTTAAGTAAGAATGGTCAATATTTTTGGTTAAATTAACGCACTTTATTTAGTTGTGAGACCATTTCAAATTAGTCAATTCAACTATTTAAAAAACTACCCGGGATGCATCTGAGAGAACCCATTTTGTTTAGTTACTTTTCGTTAATATAACTAAAAAAGAATAGGTTACAAGAAATTGTTAATTTAACCTTGAATAGTCAGTAGATTTAAATACTGTAAAAGAATTGAATAACACATTTAAATGGACCATATTAACAAACAAATTCGGTTTCATCTTTATTGAACGTACATTTATGCAGTCGATTGTAAACATTCTATTCAGTAAAATGGCGCCCTAGAATGGAAAATAAAGGACTGCATCGTACTTCCAAGTATGTAATATTGACTTTTCATCGGCATGAATACCGGCTGATATAAAGGATTTAAGGTTAGCTGTTTTTCGACTTTATTGCAGTTTTGCAGTCATTTCTTTGTTATATAAAAACCCTTGAAATTTTCTAAGTGTCAATATTCCCATTGCGCATGTCCGTTCGTAATCTTCTGCACCTGAATCATTCTGCAACAAAGAAAAATATATGTTTTACTGCCAAGTTACAAATCCTGAACATTTCTTTTCAACTCAAACTACAAGCTTTTCACTTTTTTTTTCATGATAAGGTTTTGGTTTTAACCATGTATTTCAGTCTTACATTTCTATATCTCATGATAATACCGGCTATACCAAAAAACATTGCTCTTTCAGATATACCGTATATGTATTATTGTATATACCTTTTGTTTTTTCCTTTGTTTCTGCCGCAAAAGAATGGAAAAAAAAAATAATAACATTCAATCCCCCTAAAAGCGGTCCCTGTAACTAAGTCAGTTGTAATTATTAAGTAAATTGAACAAGTGGTAATGAAGGGTCTTTATAGGGAGGGATGTGAAAAGCCCGCTGTGTAAAAATGCCCTTTGAAGCCCAAACAAATGCCAAATAACCTCTCTGTAGCTTCCTTGGATTTTGAAACGTTACTGCATTACCAAGGTTTGACGCACTTCCAGAATATGCATCACACAGGCGGCGTCAGTAAGTATTGCTATTGTTATTGCCATAGTGACAATGTAAACCACTGGAACCACCAGTAATTGTGATAGCCATTAAAGTCCATTATTTATTTATAATAATTTCTTAGCCCTACTGAAAAAATGTATATTTTCGTTCCTAAAGCCTGCCCCGTGAAGATGCACGTTTTTCGCTTTGCCATTATAATTTACCCTGATTTATTGATAGAAAACCTTGCATGCTGAACCGAGAAAATCAAATGTGGAGAATTTTGACAAGAAGCAAAGCCGGTCAAAAGTAAGTGATTACTCATCAAAGCCTGTACAGAAGCAAGAAAATACTCTGAGAATACAGTCGTCTCTCCTCGCCTGCTCTGGAAGTTTGCGCGCGAAACGACTCTTGCGGTGCGGAGCGAGGGAAGAAGGCTGTATTCGCAGGCTACAAGGAAAATCAATGTCATGAAAAGGAAAATCAAGGCGGAAATACTTAAATGAATCTATGCATAATTAGATTTCGTTGAGAGAGTCAAGAGAATTTGTAGCCTGTGTAAGGATGTACGCTCTCCCAGCTTTTTTGAGGGGAGGTGTCTATACACGAGCTAGAGAACTTGATGCTGTAAAAGGGGGTCTAATTGCGCTCCTTAGTGCAGTCTCCTGCAGTAATTTTTCTTAGAAACGGAAAAGAAAATTTTTCTTTCAGACTTCCGGTAATTAAATCGGTCAACTTTCAAGTAGATTTTCGCTTAATTAATACGAAGGTAAATTCGAAAAAGAAAACTAAATGATGCTTATTACCTCTGAACTCACTGCACAAACATTTTGAACGCGAAAGAAAACTTTAAAAAATTGCTGGTGCAGATATCTTTAAGTAACATGCTTTTAGGAATAGCTACTTCCTTAAATTACTGCTAGCAGAATAAAGAAGTCTATTGTTCGACAGTTTTTTCGATTTATGCGATTCTTTCGTTGTCTCCTTTTTTTCTCTTTTTCATTTTACTCTTGGAGCACTGAACTCGTTGACTGCACGTTGCGTCCACGTAGAGTTTCAGCTCAAATGTTTAGGCAAGACATTGTTTAAAACAGTAATTAATTTTGAATTTGGTATCACTCATGGAAAAGTATTTACAAATATCTGAGCCGAGTCAAGAGAGAAAGCAAGAACCAGCAAGCTGCAGATTATAGCCCAAGCAAGGCTGCCACAAGTGACTACCTCAGCAAGGAAATTGCCAGTAGGCAAGCAATTAAATCTTGCCTTGACAGAACAACGGCTTCTGCAGGAGCATAGGAGTTAAGCTTTTCTTCAAGCCTTAGCACACTTCTTTTTCTATTCAATCGTGACATTCACAGAAAGTCATGAACACAAGACAAAGGAAAATAAACTGACGCTACAAAAATTTAGTCCATTTATCAACAATTCAGTCCTCCAAGTAGTTTAAAATAAAGAAATATGTACAGTATGTGGTCCTTGGTCCGCGTCTAAAAGTCGTTAAGTTGAATGTCTTACCCGAATCTTCCCGTAATGAGCTGAAATACTCCCTGAAGATAGCTTTTATGTTCTTCTCGATAATCCTGAAGTTTCAAGTTCCAGACATGAATATTTTGCTTGGAGTTCGAAAAAAGGCGACCGTTTTCGATGGTCCTTGATCCGCGAATGTGGTCCTTGGTCCTCGTCTCCGGTAAGCCCAAGCAGGACGAAAAAAACGTAAAAATGTTATAGTTTCCACAGGAAAACGTGATTTTCACAAATTTCATGTATTTTTTCTCTTTTCTAGGTGCAATTTAGCTAAAGTTTTTTCGGAAGATGTTGTGAGTATAAAATAATCTGCTCTTCTTTCAAAGACTTCAGACAACAGTCTCCTCGAGTCTCCCGGCCCACACGAGCGTCGACTAGCGGTTTTCAGCGCGGTCGAAAATAATTACCAAAAACTCTGTATGCATTCGAGGTATTAAAAAAGAGAACTTCTTTTTTTTTTTATTTTATTTTATTTTATTTTTTTTTAATTTTTATTTATTTATTTTTTATTTTAACAAACAACAAATTAAATACAAGTTAAAAGTGACAAAAGAAAGAAAAACTACAAAACAAAAACAACAACAACAACAAAAAAAAACATCAATTGAGAGGAGAGCAGCAGGCTAAAAGCAAATAGCGAAGTTGATACATCTGGTCCTTTTTTCTTTTTTCTCTCCCTACTTTTTCGTTTCCTTTTTTTTTCCTTGAGTACAAGGGCACAGTCGAAACCAAAACAAAAAAGAGATGTAGAGAAGATATTTATATTTAATTAGGTTTTGGAGACTCAGGTCAAAAGGCTTATATAAGGCAACAAGGGTTCCCATTTATTTTTGACAGTGGAGGCATTGTTTTCTATTTGATAAATGTGTTTCAAA